AGCAATCCACTTACATGGATGATAACATGGATTCAGTAGAAAGTGATGGTCAGGCAATAGAACTCTATGAACAGCTAAATGCCTTATGGAGTTCAGCAGGTATGCATGCCAGAAAATGGGTGTCTAATTCAACACAGGTTCTAGACAACATTCCTCTTGAGGACAGATTGAAGGAGATCAATATACATATGCAGGAGTTGCTTTCAGTTAAGGCTCTTGGTCTGACATGGAATGCAGAAAGTGATGACTTTCGTTTCTGTTACCATGTCCAAGGCAACAGTTTTAGCATGACAAAAAGAAACTTTCTGAGAGAGACTGCAAAGCTCTTCGATCCTCTTGGCATTTTGGCACCTTTCATCATAAAGGTCAAAGTTATCCTCCAAGAAATATGGACAACAGGTGCTGGGTGGGATGAAGTTATCAACCCCCAATTAGAATAGAAAGCATGGCAGTGGTATCAGGAAATAGAACTTCTTAGATCGATTCGGATACCAAGATGCATTCAAGTGGCTTTTGATATAGAAAATACAATGCTGCATGTTTTAGCAGATGCTTCACAAGAAGCATATGTGGCTGTTGTGTATGCAGTCACTATGGACAAAGGTGAGGTGGTCTCAGGCAATCTCGTAGCTGCAAAGAGTCAGGTGGCACCTCTTAAAGGGGCACTGATCTAACGGAATTCCCCGGACTGGTTGTTGCCTTTGTTATTGTTTTTTCCCCGTGAGTACCCGGATGATACGCAACAAAAACTGAGCGTGACCAGAGTCTGGGCTACCGTCTGCAAGGACAGCTAAATAAACTTGGAGGCTGGAGGCAATATTTGTTTTACGCATTTTTGCATAAACACTGATTGGTTAACCGGGATCTATAAAGATTTCGACAAAGGGCGCATGTTAATTAATTTCTTCAACCTAAACAAACAGACAAAAAGAACAGCGGAGCTCATCAGATGTCGTCATTTGGAAATACCCCAGATGGTTATAGTTTAATACTAAAAAAAAGTATCCATGCAGTGAAAGCATTTTCGGATTTTGGATTGCGTCGATAATACGATATCTACTCCCTTGTTGTCATCTACGTTTTCTCGTATAACCCTACACTTGTGTATTTGTCGCCATTCACTTGATGCTCAGTTAATGAATTTATTACAGGTACAATTAGTGGTAGCACCACTTAGATTACCTGACAAAGGTTCCCATTTGGCATTTATTGTGTCTGGGGTAATTATTCAATCTAAATCCAGGTTTGAAGTGAGGTGAAATGTGTGTTATGTAATATGCACGTGGCAGACCAGTAAATCAGTAAATCAACGGATCGTTCCTAGTCATCAAAGGATTAACAGAAAATACGTTGATTGATTAATCACTGTTATTTTGCACAGTGGATATGTCAAAGTGAGTGTTTACATGTCTAGGTTTACTAAAACAAAGGGAATACACTCATATCATGGCGTGAAGTGCCGATGTAAAAACAACATACTTTGTTCAAAGGGTTAACTGATAATACGTTGATTGATTGATCATTGTTATCTATCACTCAATGGATTTTTTAGGAACCGTGGACGTTATGATAATAGTTGTCAAGTGGGCTTTCTCAGCTGACCCTTGAGACTTGACACCTATGTGAAACACCTGAAACAATCCAAGTGATCAGTTGAGAAACGGACACGGGTTAAAATACCCCAAAACAACATGTATTTTTAAAAATATGTGATTGTTACAGAGACACGTGACATCGAATAAGTTTCTTTGTACAGCTACAGACGAGTGGGATATTGTTCCTTTGTGTGGATATTCATGGATACATTCCTCGAACAAGGAAGCTGCCAAAAATTTATACACATAAATTTGGTAGGTTGTAATTATGGTATTTGCATTTTGTTTTCCTTCATTTGCTGTAACATTGAACCGATTCGTCCTTGTTTCTCTACTTCTTGGTTAGGAAATTCTTCAATGAGCGATAGACGTTGTTTTCCTTTGTAAGCGTGTATATATTACCGTCAATTTGTAAAACGTGATTCTCTCAGGCAGTTTATAAAATGTGTAAATATTTCAGTCATTTTGACTAAAAAATCTGTCCAGATTGATTAAGACGATTAAAAGGGCCTACAAACATCACAACAGATTATTATGTAGGATTAGAAGCCAAACAACATAGAAATGTACTTTTCAACGTAACATTTTCAGTCTCTTGGGGATGACATTAAACAACAAAATGTTTGGAATTCGTTATCATAATAATACAGATGGAAATGTTTTTCAGTCACTTTGTAAAATAACTGAATATTTAGGCGTTTAATAAATTTGAAAATGTTACACATTTTGACAGTAAAAAAATATACACACTATATAAAAGCAATGCTCAGGGGAAATATTCACTTTGTGTTGCAAGTCAAAATAGTGTAAACGAAAATCGCGAAAATTACCAAGCAAGTGTCTTATCAAAACTTCGTCACCATTACCGATGCTACCCACAAAGATACCTACATTTCCTTATTATCTCGAAAACTGTATTTCATTTTGTTGATCAATGTGACCATACGCCCTTATTACTACCCATACAAGTGACTAATGCGCTTACGAATTGCGCAGCAGAGGTCGCGAACTAGTCTAGATTTCTGCTATACATCCGGGTACTCACTGGGAAAAAACAATAACAAGGGCAACAACCAGTCCCGGGGAATTGCGTTAGATCAGTGCCCCTTTAAAGCAGTCAGTATTCCAAGAATGGAATTGCTCGCAGCTGTCATTGGAGTTAAACTTCTCAATGCTGTTGAAAAAGCCTTGGCAATAACACCTCAGTCTGCAACACTATGGTCTGATAGCTTAAATGTGTTGTGGTGGGTGAAAAGTCTGAGTAGAAGTTTCAAGTCATTTGTGGCAAATCGTGTTGGATACATCCATAAGAATACAAATCCTAGTCAGTGGAGATATGTTCCCTCACAACTGAATCTGCAGATATTGTCAGCAGAGGTGCTCAAGTTCAAACATTGGAGAACAGGAAATGGTTAAAAGGCCCTGAATTCATGACTTCAACTGAAAATGATTGGCAAAAAGAAGTTGTTGACTTCAGTCACTGATAAACTTGAGAGATGAATTCCTCATTCGTGGACAGAATGGTCAAGTTAGAGTTGTGGAGGTTCAAGTTGGACAATCAAAACTTTAGAATGGAACCGTGATACAGAGAATTAATTTTCCAGTTCAATGAGGCTGCAAAAGAAGAAGATTTGGCATATCAGATCAGTATTCTTGTACATAGTGAAAATAGTGGAATTTTGATCGGGATTGTTAGTTCGTTGGTTTGTTAGTTTGTCTTCGTGTTGAAATCTATTGGTATTAGTTGATAGACATGGGTGTATCATCAAGTGGGGGTATGTTGAGGAGAGAAAATAATAAAAACAAAACAAACATAGTTTCGGTTCATGTAACATGAACATTTAGCATAAACGCCACATGCTTCATGGAAATCAGATCGTAGCATTCGTTTCACATGCAGAAAATGAATTCTGACATGTGATGCATTGGAGCAAGACACGCTTTACCTTCATGGTCATAGACCAATATTCCTTAGAAACGTAAAGTGTGTAATTGCTCCTATAGTTAACCATATTCACAGTGTAGGCTTTTCGTTCGTTGGGGTAAGACACACTTTACCCTCGTAGACCAATATTTGTGGTCTTTAACGAAACTTGTTGTCGTTGGACCAATATTCGTGGTCTGAATAGTAACTAGATGGACCAATATTCCTGGTCCTTAGAAACGTAAAGTGTGTACTTGCCCCTATAGCTAATTATTCATTCCTGCATTCGTGGTCATTGACCTCCCATAGTTTCATTTTTCATTAAGAAGAGAATCAGCCAATTGTTAATTGTTGACACCATGTCACTCATTGAAAGTAGTGTTGGATTTTTTGCAAACCAATTTGTTGTAATATTTTCCGAAGCAAATGGAGCACACATGCAGAAAGTACAGAATATGCATGCAGCCACTGTCCTTGAAATTGTTGCAGACTTTCTGTCCCTGGTACCATATTTTTTGTCGACCATGCAAATCTGTGGTGCTGTTTGTAGTGCTAGTGGAGGTAGCATTCTTTTTCCCAAAGGTATATTGTGGGCCAACTTGTTCGCGGGTGTTCGTCAACACGGATGGACATGTGGCTGTGTCGTGGCTGATGCTACTGCACAGGTCACATGACCTACAGCAAAGGCCAGAAGTACTAGTATATATTCTGGTGTCCGGAACGCCCCAGTTGATGTGCGTACCCCTCAGGAAGGAACAGCACGTACAGATGACAATGAGGAATCGGGTGAGGCATATTGAACAGCGCTGCCCCCTCTTCAGGCCGTTTGGTTATCGTTAAAATTCTCCTTGTACAGTTGTAAGATCGTCTTCCTTCCCCATGATGCAGGCACTGTGATGCCTCTGGCTCAGGTCAACTGTTGTCTGGTAAGGAACAGCTCTGCCTGTCACACTCGCTCCGACCTGTGACCCTACATGTCAACTGTTGTCGGAAGTTTCACGTGATGCAGATGAAACATTTTCTACAGGAACAGCTGTCCTGGTTCTCCTTGACGTCCGTTTCGGTGCCATTGCCGGTGTTTTAGGTACCTTGCTGACATGCAGGAGGTGGTGCGTGCCAGCGGCAGTAGGTCACAATAAAGTTATGGCAATTACTGTCGCGAGTCTTGTTGTCCTTCTAGTTTGGGAGAGGAATGGAGAGAGACAGGGCTTTATGGGCAAAGAGGCTCATGTGCACATGTGTATGCAAGACATGTGCGCATGCGAAGAGGGGGAATTTTGAAACATTACCAGGGATAGTTGTAGGAGTAAAATGTACACATAGTTGTGAATAAATTAAATTTTTAATACACAGTACAAGCATGTAGTAAGTAGAAACAAAATACATTGAATTTGCACAAACCACAATATCAAATTATCATAATAGTCATACCTGTTGATTAATGATCTTGAGAATAAATTGATTTGGGTAAAAGCACTCACCTGTTCATGGAGTTGATGGTCCCTGAGTGTAGGGTGAACATTGGCTGGCTTTATCATAAGGATCTCGTGAAGGTTGTGGAGGGCATGAAGCTGCTGTAAGTCATCTGTCTTCAGGCGACCTTCATGCTCTGTCACTGACCGCAGCACACAGCGGTAGTTCAACACTGCTTCACTGTACTGTAACACAACAGTTGATCAATCAATTAACAACAAGTATTTGTCACAGAGTGACGAAATATCCCCCGCCTGTACACCATAGTACCAAATATGAAGACAATCCAGCGATTAGTTCTTGAGATATTGTGGCAACACCGTTTTCCAACTCCAAAAACAGATTTTCCTGCTGTGACCTTGAAAATGGGGTCAAGGTCACCAAATCTGACAGGTGTATGCGGTGTCTGTATATACACTATAGTTCCAAATATGAAGACAATCCAGCGATTAGTTCTTGAGATATCGCGGCAACACCGTTTTCCAACTCCAAAAGCAGATTTGCCTGCTGTGACCTTGACAATGGGGTCAAGGTCACCAAAACCGACTGGTGTCTGCGATGTCTGTATATACACCATAGTTCCAAATATGAAGACAATCCAGTGTTTAGTTCTTGAGATATCGCGGCAACACCGTTTTCCAACTCTAAAAGCAGATTTGTCTGCTGTGACCTTGAAAATGGGATCAAGGTCACCAAAACCGACTGGTGTCTGCGGAGTCTGTATATACACCATAGTTCCAAATATGAAGACAATCCAGTGTTTAGTCCTGAGATATCGCGGCAACACCGTTTTCCAACTCTAAAAGCAGATTTGTCTGCTGTGACCTTGAAAATGGGATCAAGGTCACCAAAACCGACTGGTGTCTGCGGAGTCTGTATATACACCATAGTTCCAAATATGAAGACAATCCAGTGTTTAGTTCTTGAGATATCGCGGCAACACCGTTTTCCAACTCCAAAAGCAGATATGCCTGCGGTGACCTTGAAAATGGGGTCAAGGTCACCAAAACCGACTGGTGTCTGCGGAGTCTGTATATACACCATAGTTCCAAATATGAAGACAATCCAGTGTTTAGTTCTTGAGATATCGCGGCAACAAACAGGTGGGACGTACGGACGGACGTACGGACGGTCGTGAATACTATATCCCCCGCTTCGCGCTTTCGCGCGGCGGGGGATAATTATCTGTCTGTTTTCAAAGGATTTTTCAATAATCTGAAAAAGACATTTCAACAAGCTATATGTCAGAACTTCTTTTTGTATGTGATGGATCATCTGGGACATACATATACATATACATATGTACACTGAGTCATTGTTCAGAAACTTTCATTAGTTTTTCATGAGACAATGCTACATATTCAAATTTATACAGACAAAATCACTAAATCATCAGCGTGCAAATCAACAACAGTTATAATTGTAAATAATTAAATTACTACAACATCTATTACACCAATGCCAGAAACCCTGTATTTTGGCTGTCATCACACTATGAAATCTTCAGATTTTCAACAGAAGTACTCTTCGCTGTCAATTATCCGTAACCAGTTGAGATACTCATGGTATCTCCCTTCCTAAAGCTCTGTGCATGTGCAGCCAGAAAGTCTTCACTTCAGCAACCTATATGCAGATCATTTGGGAGTTGGGGAGGGTTACCATAGATGTAAAAGAGGTAGTAATTTTTAAATTATTAACAATTAATATTGTCTGAAAGTTCATACAAATACAAAACCTCTATTACATCAGAATGTAAGCAAGGGATTGGTGGGTTCTGACATCTTGTTATGCTCTGGAGGAGTTATAGTCTGAAGTTAAAAAGAAAATTAACCAAAGAAACAAGTCAATATAAAATTGTTATTAGGAAACAGCACAGAGATACGGTGCTGTGGTGGAACTTGGCGTTCTGGCAAATATGAAGGCGGAAATACACCACCATGGGTACAATTAGATGTCCCACATCCACTCCTTGTACTGGACTGAAACATACGGGAGCCTGTTGCTGATGCAGGTGGCAAAAAGATCTCGATGTTGGGTATCCCATGTCGCCTTGATCTATACTCACATGCAAAAGAAACACAAGTCGAGTATGCAGTATTCATGTTATTTATTTTCAACAGTAAAGACAAGAAATACTATTAGGGCAAGATTGACAAAAATTTGACTGAAGACAGTTTAATGGATTAAATGGCAGATGACATAATTGTTTTTATCAAATGTTAAGGGCTTACACAGTTTCGGGTCAATACCAAAAATGTCAGTCAATACCTGGTGTGATCACCATTAGCATTGATCACTGCCACACATCTGTACATTGAGTGGATCAGACGATTTGTGAAGGCCCTAGGGATCCTCCTGCACACATCCAGAGCAGCTGTGCGTAGTTCATCGGCAGTTGTAGGGACTGGGCGCACATTGTGCAGACACCTTTGAACCTCATCCCACAAGTGTTTGATGGGGTTCAGATCAGGACTGAGGGCTGGCCACGGTAGAACACGGATGTTGTGTTGTTGCAGAAAGGCCATTGTAGCTCTGGCAACATGGGGACAAGGGTTGTCCTGCTGGAAAATGTGTTGTTGATGTTGTGGAAAAAATGGGACAACGTGGGATCTGATCACTTGGTCGATATACAGCTGAGCAGTGACGCCGTGTCCCCGACCTTGACCAACAATCAGAAAGCACATGGGTCCAAGTCTTGCATTAAGTCCAATCCCTGCCTATATCATGAGGCTAGGTCCACCCCATGGATCCCTTTCCACAACGTTTCTGTCAGCACAATGACGCCAATTGTGATGACCCTGTGCCCACTGAAGTCGTGCTTGTCGATGCTGTGGTTGGAGAACAGGACGACGTGCTGGTCGGCGACATCTGAAGTTGTTAGAACGGAGACGTCGGATCACAGTGTCCCAGCTAATGTGTCGATTAGGTGTTCCTATGGTCTGTCGAGCACTTTCACTTGCAGTTAGGAACGGATGTCGCTGATATTGACGGGTAATCTGCCGATCTTGTTGAGGTGTGGTGACCCTAGGATGACCGCTCCGAAGAAGGTCATCTGTGGTCTGTGTAGCATTGTATCGATGCAGGAGACGGTAAATTGTGGTTATGTTAATGTTGAAATGACGGGCAACATCTTGGACAGACTCTCCAGCTTCCAAACGTCCGATAGCCTGGTTTCTCTGAATTTGAGTTAGGCGTGGCATTGTTGACCAAGAAGTGGTAGGTCCATGAATCGGCCACAGTTTTATACCCACTACAGTTCGTGACAGTTCGTGCATTTTAGATTTCGTGAGAAATGGGTGCATGATACCCAAATATTCATTGAAATGGTGCGTTTCGGCGATTCGTTTTTTATGTTGCGTTTTTACTCGGGGCTTCCAAAATGCAACCAAAAATATTGATAACACCATCAGGCTTCACTACATGCTAAAACTCGTATCAATTTATGGTTCCGTGTTTGTTACCGATTTGCTTAAAACCACTTGTGTTTCTTTTGAGTGTAAGTATATTTGAATACCTCGGGATGGAGGGACCATTTCATGGGCACTATGTTGTTCTTCCGACAGGCAATCTGCATTGATGTTTAACTTAACCCGGTATGTGTAATGCTTACATCCTGCAGGTCATCAAGTCTGATAAGGCAAATGATTCGACATCGTACCCCCTTAATGCTATGTATACACTATACAGTCAAGTCCCGTTAATCCGACATTGTTGGTTGCATATGATTATGTCGGATTAATGAGTATGTCGGATGAACGAAATAAGTAGTATAAACGTTCGTGATTGAAAATTGGACAACTACATGATAGATAACGATACGAACACGTAGGAAAATGAAAAATGAAATATTCATATTGTTGTGTTAAATTGTCAGCGGAATATGTTTTCTAATCATGCAACCTCTAAAGTGTAACACAAAACTACTGTTACGGACTGTATGACTGATTCAAAATTGGCTGATTTTTAAAGCATAGTCTTGAATGGAAGTCGCTAATTTGAAACTAGCGCCGCAATCCTTAAGAAATCTGCTTTCTTAGTGGCTAATGTCCACTTCCTGTAAGTAATTTCATTGGTCGGTCAAAGTTCGCGAATGGTTGTTCTCAGGTGACCTGTAATGGGATGTTCTCAGTGGTAGCAAGAACTTGTATCCGAGGTAAATGAGATTGAGGTAATCTAGGCATATGATTAATCCTGTTTTTGTTTTTTAAAGCAGTAATTGTTTATTGTTTATCTCTGCAGCTTTGTAATATGCAGCTGCCAGCCAACTCGTCTTGCATGAAAAAACTGGCTGTGTACTCGCGGGCAGAAAACCACAGAGTACGCTGATCATTGTGTCGGATTAACGAGATTGATTAATGAGTGCTTTCAGCAATTCGTTGAAAATTAGATGTGTCGGAGTCGGAGTACGTGACTGTCAGATAAACGGGTCTAAATAGCACTGGATGAATCGGTTCCCATCATTTGTGTCGGATAAAGCTGATTGTCGGATTAACGAGTGTCGGATTAACGAGACTTGACTGTATTGTGGTGATGTCTGAGGTGATCCCATACTTTAATTGCTTGGATAATAGGCCTCACTTCCAGACAAATGATATGCATGTTCGTGTCTAGGTCTGGACAAACCCCTTGAACTGTGACATTATCCATGTGAGCACCCCAACCCTAACCTGACACATCTGTGTGGAGGCGATGTATTGGAGAGGGGAATATGAGCATAACATTCAAGCCACTGTTGTTCCAACAGAAGGCCTGAAGGGGGTTGAGTTAGATCTTCCACTTTGATATTTATGGTAGTGTTTATCTATGCCCAAAGTGGGCGTAACTGTAGCTTCCCTCTGTAGGTTAGATCTTGTAGAGTAGTATAGGTAATAGAGATTCTGGCTCACTTCCACTGGAGCCAGATTTATACCCAATACTGCCACTACAGAGAGAATTTTTTATGCAAAAATGATGATGCGCACAAACGATCGTCATGAGACTAAACTAAATTTTAATGAAAATATTCTCTATTATTTTTACTAATACGCATACCATAATTTTGAACAAAGTGATGTTCAACATTTTTACTAAGTTCTTCATTCATTTAACTGGGAGACCAGACTATATACTCTTTTTCAAAATTGGAAAGAAACAATTGATGACCATATTTAGTTGGTTTGACATGACTGATATAATATATACCCTG